CAGCCCATGGGATTTTCCTCCGAAACAATAGTATGTCGTACAAAGTACAAGTGTCACGACTCAAGAACATAAGTTCTTAGCGGATACTAGTTTATGTCAATCATGTCTTTGTTATATTTTGCTCGGTTAAGCACTTGAAGCCTTACGTCACTAAAAGCCTAATTCGATGAAATTATTTGTAAAATAGTTTATAAGTTGAGATACGGTTCACAGAGTAATAAGTTGATGCTTGTGCTTTAAGTTGATGATAAATAGTTTAAGTTGTGAACAAGTTTTAACAGTGATCGATTAAGTAAAAGACCAACTTGACTAGTGCGTCACCGGCCTTAAGTAAACAAAGTATGAGAGCTGGACCGAGCTTCTAACGCCAACCCACACTTACAACCTACAACGCTGATTGGATTGTGTGAATCACACCATCTTGCACAGGGCGTCTTCAAGATCCCCTCAAATTTTATTATAAAAGGAGGCGCACAGCAACAGAACATTCAGTGGACTAAACACGAGAGTGGACTAAAAAGAGTGGACTAAGCACGAGAGTGGACTAAACACGAGAGTGGGCTAAACACGAGAGTGGACTAAAAGGAGTGGACTAGTGGAGTAAAAAGTATATGAAACGTTGGAGAAGCTCAACCTGACAGAACAGACAGCCAAGACGAGAACAGAAAACAAAGAGGTCCGAAAGGACGAATAATCCGAAGAGAAGAGAAGAATGAGAAAGAAGAGAACTTTAGTGAACTTTAGTAAAAACGTTGTAAAAGATCTCCTACCTTGCGCATATAGAAATAACATAATATAGACTTAACATTTGGTGCAGGATCGGCCTTACAAAACGTTTCGGAAACTCAATCAGTCCACTATTAGTATATACTCACAAGAAATCAGAACAATCAATATTACAAACATTGCTTAGAAACAGGTGCTGAAGCGACCTGATGACTGGTTCGAAAGAAACGCACGCTCTGTATTTATCCATACTTCTACTTACGGCAATGCTAGACTTTGTTTCACGTTTTGGATGTCTCTTCAAGACAGCTGTCCACAACCTCTACACTTCCCATGAACTAGAATTGAAACTACAATCGTTTTGCCCTCAGTCTGCAGTCCAAGACGAGTTTGGCAATATGTTCTTCCTCTATCCTAATATGATGGCTATGTCGAATATCTAGCCAACGAGGTACCAGTGGAAGCCTCCGTGGTCGTTGAAATACGACTACTGAGAGTCTGAGACGTATGAAAGTTTCAGAATTTACCGGATCCTTCCTGATGGTCAGCGCGTTTATAAATGGACATGAAACTGGACACATTTTAAGATTTGTATAATTTAAGTTTTTGTCATTGACATGACATGTTACATGTATATGTTATTATGTCTGTTTTTGTTCGATAATATTAAACACGAGAGTATAGCTGTTCAACTAAAATTCCTTAGGTACACTCAGCATGCTCATTAAACATGTTGCCGTAGGATAGCGCATGCATGTTTTTAATTGGGTCAGTGTATAAATTTCATTCTGACGCTTTTAGTTATGCGTCATTCGTTGAAAATATATTTTTCTCTTCCCCCGGGACAGTCAAGGGTCTCCCAAACTTGTTGTAATAGATTATAATTCTTTTTAAGCTAAAAGCTTAAATATTAGGCACATTCTTGTTTTCTCTATGTAGACTCGGTATTATATTGTTGATGAAAACCTACATTTTGGAGTTTGGTTTGCTGTGCATGGCGTTTAAAATTTAAAATGAGTTTCAGTAATATTAAGAAATATACGTGTAAAATTTGTTTGCATGAGTTGAAATATTTTGAAGAATTATTAAGACGTATATATAGGTTTAGGTTATTATTATGGAGAGATGTTTTGTCGGAAGAGCTTTATAATAATTTCCTGTTATGTGAAGTTGATCAACCAAAAATCTGAATACAATAGACCTTATGCATAATGACGTCATAACACCTTAAGCGCGCGGTTAATTATGGTCTTTGTGGTCACAGAGCGGGAAAATAATTTCAAGATGGCTACTGTCGAAAGTGAGTGTTTTGAAGTTCTTAACTGTCTTTTAAAGGCTGTTCAAGCCAACGAGGATTCTAGTTCTTTTGAGAACTCTTGCACGGATCCTCTGCGGTTGGATAACTCTGAAAGTCAGTGCACTAGTCGGCTTTCTTCGTCGAATTTTACGAGGCCATGTGGAGGTGCTGGAGGTTATACGTGTTGTGTTCCTGGTTGTTAAAGCAACCACAAAAGGAATCCAGAGCTTTCCTTTTATAGCATTCCTAGTGGTAAAAGTGAAGAGTCGAAAGAACTTCGAAAGAAGTGGATTAATCTCATTTCACGCAGGGATTTCTCTCCTACAATTGGTCATAGAATTTGTTCGTTGCATTTTCCTGGGGGACGTAAAACCTATTTAAACAACCTTCCTACGATTGTTCCCAAAGCAACCAGACCTACACCAACGAAACCTCGTTCAACGGTAAAGGCAAAAAATCGGACTCTTGTATCATGTACAAAATCTGTACCTGCTAAACGCAGACCTTTTTCAGAACTTGATGATAACAATAATTCATCACGCTCAATAGAAGAACCAGATAAAATGGCTACACCTGTAAATGAGAATATTGATCCTATTGCTTGTTTACAAGAACAAACGGAAAAACTTTTAGCAACTAATGAGAAACTTAAGGAGGAGAATGGAAGACTTAAAAATGAAAATAAATGTCAAAAAGATGAGATAAGAGGATTAACGGAGCAACTGGAACAAGAGAGGAAAAGAATACGTTTTTCAATTGAATGTTTTAAGGACAATGACATTCTCATTAGGTTTTATACGGGGCTGGAAGACTACAAAACCTTCAAAACATTGTTTGATTCATTTGGACCGGCAGTGAATAATCTGGTGTATTATGGTACCAAGACTGATTTGGAAAGGTTAAGCTCTGAAGATGTAATTAAACGTGGACCTAAAAGAACAAATTCACCTGAACAGGAATTTTTCCTTGTGTTGGCTCGCTTGCGATTGGGGCTTTTAGAAGAAGATATAGCGACCAGAGCTGGGTTGTCTCAATCACATATGTCAAGAATATTTATTACTTGGGTTGACTTCTTGCATTCAAGGTTACGTAGCTTTCCAATTTGGCCATCCAGAAAAGCAGTTGATAATTCAATGCCAGCTTCATTTAGAGATATGTATCCTTCGACACGAGTTATTATTGATTGCACAGAAATATTTATTGAAAAACCAAATTCTTTTAGAAGTCAAAGTGCAACATTCTCCACTTACAAAAGCCACAACACTGCCAAGGGTTTAGTTGGCATAAGCCCATCAGGAGCTGTCACTTTTGTATCGGATTTGTATGCAGGAAGATCAAGTGATCAACAAATTACTATTGATTGTGGAATTCTGAACTTGGTAGAAAATGGAGACTCAATTATGGCTGATAGAGGATTTGATATTGAGCACAATTTACCAGATGGAGTGTCACTAAATATACCACCATTCATGCGTGAGAAAGAGCACTTGTCAATTGAAGAGGAAACCAAGACTCGAAGAATAGCTTCTGTTAGGATCCATGTGGAGCGGGCAATTGCCAGAATAAAGAATTTTAAAATTTTAAGTACAGTCTTTCCAATTTCCATGGCAGCAAATTTAAACAAAATTTGGGTGATTTGTTGTTACCTTTCTAACTTTTTACCACCACTACTTGTAGAAAATAACAAGCTGGACTAGATGATAGTTTTTCTGCAATCCTCCTTGCTTTATTATTTATTCGGCCTAACAAGATGATTTTACCTGACATTGACATGGCTGGAGTTAACCTTTTAAAAGGCAACCCTATAGCATTTCATTCTATCAAAGGCTTAAAATTTGCCCATAATAAAGGCTAGGTCCAAAACATTTTCACATTAAATCCATTGTAGGCTGTGAAACTTTATTAAACTTTGTGTGTCCTACCCCTTAATGGTTAATCTATTCTTTAACCCATTAAGTGCCAGGGTTTCCCCAGACAAGTAAAATCATCTGGCGTTTGTTAAAAAAAAATAAGTAGGGCGCACTGGGGCACTTTGCCAGTTAATGAGTTAAAGGTATTTGCATCTATTATTTGGAATTTTTAACAGAAATATACTAGAGTAGAGGGGTAACCTTCACCTTACTCCCAATAAAAGCCTTTGAAAGTTTTTAGAGTGTTACAAAACTGTAACCATTTTGTGGCTCATGAACTCTTTAACCTATTAATTAAAGTGGCAATGCACCCCAGTGCTCCCTACTTATTTTTTTGACAAACACCAGGCGATTTTACTTGTCAATGGAGAAGCCCTGGTGCTTAATGCAGTGGTGCAGCCAGCCCAACAAATTAGTCATGCTATGCAAATTTTAACTTATTATTCATTTCTTTAGAAATTGATTGTTTTCATGGTCTATGAACACGAAATTATTTGCATAGCATGACCAAATTGTCAGGCTGGCTTCGCTACTGGCTTAATGCGTTAAGCAGCAATGCACTCCGATGTGCCCTAGTTTATTATTTTACTACATGTCTAATGCCAGATGACTTGTCAAGTAGAGAGTGTTGCCACTCAATGGGTTAAACAACAGTAATAACGTGTTGCTTGAGGACAGGATTTCATTAGTCAATGAAGTTAATCTAGGAAATTAGCTTCTCGAATTATCACAGTTGATACATATACTTTACCTTGCTCCTTCAATATTGTCTTAATTAAGTACTATTTAAAGCATGCACAGGAGTGTTTTATCATATTTAAAATGCAAGTGCGCAGCACGAGCATTTCACATATGATAAAACAGGACTACAAATGCTTTAAATGACCAAAAACATGAATACAATAGATGCTGTCTCATTAGTATTCTTTGTTGCTGATTAGTGTGGACTGTATATAAAGAATACTAATGAAGATGAGTTTTATCAGGTATATAGCCACTTCAAGTGACATATTTTGGTATAAGTAAAAAAGCCAGTAAAAAACAATTGATGTGTGTTTTATTAATGTCATTTACAAGAAGGAAGAATAAATGAAAAGTAAAATGATGTTAGTTCTGGCAGCATTTTGTTCTCCCACAAAGAAGTGTCCTTATAGATACGCTGAACATGCATATCAGCATTGGTGTATACCACAAAATCAATCCAGGGTAAATTTAAAATGTTCAAGACACCTTAACATTGATAATAATATGCATGGTTCACTTTAAGTTCTAATCCACTTTCGCTTTTTTTTAAATAAAAACCTTTGACACTTTGTGCAGTTTCATTAACATTCATTTCTTTCACTGAGTAAGGACACTTAACTTCAATGCATCCAACTGGAACACCATCTTTTATGACAATTCCATCAGGGCTACAACCCAGCCATGGCCACTGGGGACTGATGACTAACCCACAACATGTGACAAAAGCACTGCCTTTTAATGTTACATCTTGATATTTAGCAATTGCATTACTTTCATTATCCAGGCCCCACTGTACAGATGCAGGCACTTTTCTTTTCTCATGATCAACACATAAAATTGATTCAATCAGTGAAGCTGGATGGTTTTTCTTTCTATATTTGATAACTTTGCCAAAAATTGAAGCAGTAAGCCTTTTAGATCGTTCAGCGTACCATTGAGGATCTTTGTTTTGCCTCATAGTACTCAAACATATATCCTTAGCAGTGGATACAGTCAACCCAACTTTTGTTTTTACTAGTTCTAGTTGTTCTGGGCTGTAATCAGATGGAGGGGTGTAACCATTTGGCACATTTTTAAAGATCTGATCAACCAGTTGACTTGGTGGTATTTGCGTTGGAATAGGAACAGAGCTGTTGTCCAGTTTTCTATTTTGCAACTGATTACAAGATGTCTCGAAAAGTTCACATGGCTTATAGTTATTTGAGGCTATAGCTTCACGAAATAGTGAAGCGCAATTGGCTTTCTCAAATGCATTTGCCATAGACTTAATTTCTTCTGCAGTCACAGTCCGAGCAAATGGTGGAGTAGCACAATAGTCTTCCCTACTCCCTTTTACAATATACCTTTTGGCAGGTTTGTTCACATCAACTTTTTCAAATAGCATTTCTTCAAATTTAACACCTTTGTCCAGGGTCTTTGAGCTTCCAGAGGGCACACTCCATTTTTGAGGAAGTTGTGTGCATGTCAATTCCACAGGAACGTGTTTCAAATTCAGATTGACAAAGTCCAAAATAGTGTACAATAGAGCAGCTACGTGTTTGCAGCAACCTCCTTGGCCAGCCTTACAAGAACACTTAGCATATTCCACTTCACCGTTAACTTGGATTAAATGAACATAAACAGGATAGCTGACGCTCTTCATGGAAGCACCAACACGCGCTTTCACCACCAACAACAGCTTCGAGGCTTGCACATTTGGCTTGACAAAAGTACTTTTTACATAACCTTCTTTCCATAGTCCATAGCCTTTCTTCATATTTCGATAAGCTTTTGGAGCCATTTTATCAGGCATTGTACGGCTTTTTTTACAAGCTTATTCTCCAGCTTTTCATGAGTAAATCCTGGAAGTTTCTCTAAGCATTTTATCCAATCACGGTTGTCAGAATTGAAGATATCTTCACTTGTTTCCGACTCTACCAGCTTTCGAGGACATGCAGTACCTCCACATGGCCTCGTAAAATTCGACGAAGAAAGCCGACTAGTGCACTGACTTTCAGAGTTATCCAACCGCAGAGGATCCGTGCAAGAGTTCTCAAAAGAACTAGAATCCTCGTTGGCTTGAACAGCCTTTAAAAGACAGTTAAGAACTTCAAAACACTCACTTTCGACAGTAGCCATCTTGAAATTATTTTCCCGCTCTGTGACCACAAAGACCATAATTAACCGCGCGCTTAAGGTGTTATGACGTCATTATGCATAAGGTCTATTTTCGCTGTTGGAATGATAAGATATTTTATGAAATTTGAATAATTTTTGGTACACTTTCTGAGTACTTTTCTTAAGTACACGAATAAAACGACAAGAGAACAGTTTACAAGCCACGAGACAGTCATCACAAAGCATACAAAGAATATTTAAAAAATCAACTTTTAAAATGAACAGTCCTCATGGTATTGAAAGAAATATTCTCAATGTTGTAACATATGTAATTTGAGTAATAAAATATTTTCTTCGCAAATCCTAAGTTTGTATTTATAATTATGTATAGCGTGAGCGCACAGCTCAGTGAGCTCCATATATATCTGGAGTAAGAACTTGAGACTTCCGTGAGGCCAAAAAGTGAAGCCAAAGATGGCGGATATTGAAGCGCTATAGTACGTCAGTTTCAGTCTTCCTATATGTGCGCAGTTATCTAAATTCGTATTTTTTAACTTTATTTTTTCCTATTTTTGAGTAAAAATGAGGGGAATTTCAATGAGAGGTATAATACTAATGTTTGATACTGAGATACTTTTATATTTTAATTAAATTAACCAAGAAATAAGCGATTTCTCACTAAGAAAGCTACGGAGTGGCGGGTTGTTGATGTTTTCGGCTTTTCGCAAATCACTGACAACATTTACTACAGAATATGCTTCCCAAAAAAAGATAGATACTAGTAAAACTTTTCTGAGTTCAATTCATCTGTATCAGGCTTTCATTCATGTAAAAAGTAATAGGAAAGAAAATTATGCTGAAAAACGTACGGGTTTGAAATATTGGCTACTAATATATGATTATGAAATTTATAAACAAGACTCATAATGCACGTATAAAAGAAACCTTAAAAAGAGCTCTATTATAGGAAAGCTAACCAAAAAATAAAGGAAAACCAGAGTTAAAGCGTTTCGAAACAAAAAACGAAACAAAAAACTGAAAACATGAGGTGAAAATATATGGAAATAAATCAAAATTAAAGGTATGTGCGTAGTTGAATTTATGGCGAAAAATGCATATTTACTCACACTTACAGTCGGAAAATGCGGCACCCACATTGAGTAAATGCAAAGAATCACATTCTCAGTAAAATGAATAAATTTTTTCCATTCTTGTGCTCGCAAAATGATGAAAAACACGAAAATCTGAGGGTTTCGGGAACGTCACTCCCGGTCAAAAACAATGAGAAATATTTGGCCGCGCGAGTTAGGAGACTGAAACTGACGTACAATAGCACTTCCATCTCCGCCATCTTTGGCTTCACTTTTTGTACCCAAAGTTCTTACTCCAGATATATTTGGAGCTCACTGGCACAGCCCTCTCACGTAAGTCATTCCACGTGTAAGCTATGTTGCAATAACACACTTGTGCCGATAACATCATCTCGCGTGGAGGCCGCGCATACTTTCGGTAAAAACCGACTGTTCCCGAGAAAAACGGTCTCCCCAAGTTGCCTTTACTTAAATCCTTCACAACTCTCATCCTGGTCGGTCTTTAGTGGGTATCACACAGCGGATGAATCGCGCCATTCGCCCTCCACATCATCATAGCCGTATCAAATAGCGAACGATCGACCTAGTTCAGGGCAAAAGAATTCACAGCATTTAGGGTTGTTCTTGTTGCAAACCATTCGTAGAGATTGCGGTCGCAGGCACTCCATGTAAGCACACCATTGCTGTGTTTTCTCGTGCAATATCTGTTCGATGTGCGATATTTATTTTCATGCTTTCCTTTGTTTTTTCGGGCGAGTATGTTCAGGTTCGTCCTGTCATTAAAACATATTACCAGTAATATACATATATATACATATATATATATATATATATATATATATATATATATATATATATATATATAATATATATATAATATAATATATATATATATATATATATATATATATATATATATATATATATAATATATATATTACATACACCCATTTGCAAAAACGTTGGCCTCAGATAGATAGATAGATAGATACTCGAAATCTAATTAGAATTGCATATGTTGTGTAATATGATTGAAATCCCATGCAAATGTAATCATATGCAATTCTAATTAGACTTCGAGTATCTATCTAT